CGTGCGTCTTCGTCTTTTTAGCAGAAAAAGTCACTTGACTGACGATGGAAATGGCCAAGATGGCAGCGCCCGAGGGGGGGTCATTTCTGGGTGCGCAATGCAATGCCTGTTGAGCTCTCTAAGCCCCTCTACCTGGTTGGCCTAGCCCTTAATTGAAAGACTACAGCCGATTGCAAGCTTCCATTTACAAATTTGGTACTGGAAGTGCTTATATACGTCCGGCGCGATGGCCGCGCCGTCTTCCGCATAGTTTCGAATTTGAATCAGCAGTGTTCGCCACGGCGTTTGTCGAGGCTTTCGGAACTGAACCGCCGTGGGATTGCAATATTCGGCGTCCATAGTTGCCCGCCGACCGTCAACACTGCAATTGCTTACAGCACGGTTATACGCTCACAACTTGCCTACGGTGAAACAAAAGCGGTGGCTCGGACAAGTAGGTAATCGCGCTGAACCCCGAATGCCGCGGTAGTGTGATGGGCATACAGTGGTCGCCCTCTCGCTATCGCAGGTCGAGCTTGTGGCCCCGATGCCAGCATAGGCTAAACTGACTGCAGCAGCATTCAGTCTGCTGCGCGTATACCCACCTCACCGAGGCCCCCCCCCCCCCCCCCTACCCCCCGTCTCAGTAGGGAAAACTCACTATCGCACTAGTCTTGCACTAGTCGCTAGTGCAGTCGTTCCAACTTGCATCTCCTGCCACTCCGAGTTAAGATATGATAGAAAGGTTCCATAGATTTCACGGAAAGTGCTGCATCAGCTAAAACAATTGCTCACACAGCCTAGAAAGAAAAGGATAGCTAGTTGTGTTCTTATTCTTCGATCCACAGTTTGCGTGGAAGAAAACATTGAGACACGTTCTGTAATTTGGAAACTTCCATGAAGATTTTGGACACTAAGAGTGCTTCTGTTGGTAATAATATGTGTCACCAATATTTTTTCCCATTTTCTGTGATACTAATGGTTAGAGCTTGAACAAAATGACGATTTTGTTGTCCCTGCAGAATGGCAAAGCAGTATGCGGTGGTGAATTTCACCGAGGAGGACCATGTGTCCGCTGTGCCAATTTCTTGGTTGGTGGTTGACAAGTGGAGTTGCCTGTGGCCAAAAGATTTCGCCGGATCCCGCCTCCTGGATGCAATTACACTGTTAGCAAAAATAACACGCCCAGACGTGTAAACCGTTGTCCCATAGCGGACACGTCGAAACGTGTTCGTTTTACACGCAGCCATCTGTGTTTTTCGTCTACACATGAGGTGCTGTGTAAACTTAACACGATACACCGTGTTTTTCTTCCGCTAAGCACGGTTCAGCGTGTTGGCTGAGCGTGCTCATAAAACATGGCGGCCAGCAGCCGAGAACAGGCGAGGGACGAGCCCAGCAAGCCGCGCGCCTTTCGGCTGAATTGAAAGCACACAGGACGGCGTTTGTTCTCCTTCGATGTCTTTTATACACACTAAACAGTCTCCAAGCGGCGGACGTAGCTACGCGCAAAAATACGTACGTGCGTCGTCGGCGGTCGGCGGCGTCGGTAGCTACGGTAGCTACGATCGAGCCGCTAGACAGAAAAGCGAACTTAAATGGACAAATAACTCGAGCAAACTATTTGAAATCGGGCGGTAACTTCCGCCACCTAGCGGGATTTCTAGCAGTCTATAAAAAAAGTTTATTAATATGCTACAAGCCTACGACCGATCACAAGTATACACAACCCCTACATACATCACGCACAACGCCAATACCACGCATTACACACCAGACATATACACAAACACAACACCCGACACTGCGCCCGACACTTCCTACTCAACATGCTTGTCTCTCCGCGGCGTATATAAGCTTGGCATGTGCTGGTGAGCTATTTAGTCGCTGACCGTTACAGATTTATAGAAGAAGACACAAAACACGGCGCAATGGACAGCCGTATGTAAGAACCCTTTGCATTTAAAAAGTATGGAGGCAAAATCTATAATGTTAGTCCGTTGCGAAAGATAACGATGTATTGACAATAAATCCTAAACCGGTCATGAAGGAATTCAAAGTTTTTGTTATTTTTATGCTAGACCAGTGTTATGAGCAGTCCGACTAGCTTGAATCAGATTTTTTTTTTAATTAGTAAGGTTTTATCATTATATAATTAATAATAAACAGAAATGATGCTTGCGCAAAGCATTTTTTTATATATTCTTGTGAAGGACATGTGCTCAACACTTCACTTCCGCTAGTTGCAGTACAGGAGCAGACGCCTTCACTTTTGGGTCGTGTTGATGCAGTTTGTTTGGTTTGTTGTCGTCTGTCGTGTCGGTGTTGAGTGGAGCGGTGGGGCTCGGGAGTTCGTGGCCGGTGTTGCTCGTGATCACTGGTGTGGGGCGCTAATGCGTCTTTTCTTCTTTTTTTTTTACACTGCCACGCTGTTACCATTCCGAACTTTGAATATACACGGGCCCGTAGCACTGCATTATGCTGAATGGCGAGCTCCTTCTCTGTTGACGTCGCTTTCCTGGTACCTCTCGTGGAAACTGCAAGCGTTTAAACAGTGTACACCGTCTCGCCTACATCCCCGGTGACGTATTCCACCTGTTGAAACGTTTTGCTTCCGTCATTTTTAAGTACGCAAGGCAGTTATCTCGTTGCTCTGGTTCCGGTTATAAAAGCAAGGCAAAACGCTCGTAGTTCCCGCCCTCAGTACACGTTGGACATCTTCCACACTTTGACACCGGATAACTGAATGAACGAGGATCTACATTCACTTCAGAGGTCACTCTCGCCGCTTCCTCACCGTTTAGCAGCAGGATCAGCTGGCGACAAGCCACGGATGAAAGCATTCGTGGCTTGTGAGCATCAACAGCCCAAGCGCACTCGGTGCCGACGCGGGCGATGCGGGTTTCTGTCAACGGGGAGGCCAGCACAAACCGTGACCGTTCCAGCTCTTCGTCATGGCACGGTGTTACAGAGAGCAGAGTAAAATACAACTACACGGACCACCGAAGCAAACGCACTGCTATCGTAAATCTTGGCTTGTGATTGCGCCTTTGTAGATCATCTTATTCGTTTTACTGGAGAGACGCAAACGACAGGCATAACAAAATCGCTTGCATACTCCGCATACCTCGCAAAAGCATTTACCCAGTCACCTTACGAAAAGCGCGAACACGGAGTCCGCACCGTCCTAAGCTTCTTCTGTTTTTTACCTGCTTTAGGGCAGTTTGTACCCGCTTTTAGATATGCCTACTGAAACTGAAACAGGGCAGTGCCATAGAAAACAGACAAAGTTGGGAAACCTTGCTCGCTCTCTCCAATTTCTCAACTCTCAAGTGATTGTACCATAGTAAATGCACCAGCGCCTTTCCAAAACAAAGAAAAAGCACTATGTTCACCACGCAAAAAATGGTCTCAGTTCATGCATCTGTGGGCAGGTAGGAAATCTTGCCCCAATTTATTCACACCGCATGATGAGCGCAACAAACTCGCACGAGATTTAAAGGAAAATATCAGTGGTGACTTAAGTTTCCATGAAATTCTGTTACCGGTCGTTTGCAGGACCGAGTCATCTACTCGAGCTGTGTGCGTCGCTGTGCAAACGCAGTCCAACACGAAGCATAAAAATGGCAGATCTAGGACAACAATCCGGAGTCCATTGTTCAATTTAAACGACGTAATTTTGTTGAAAACGCCCACAGCTTTTTACTCACGGTATGCGTCGGTATACTTCCACATTTTGAAACAGAACGAGGGAAGATTTACTTTTAAAAACGCTCGCTGCGTCCTCCGGGACCAGCTGGACCGGATCAGCTGATTACGACGGACTAAACCCACAGCAACCAATTCGCGCTCCGTGTTAGTGTGGCTTTCTACCTCCAAGCACCGCACCACGCACCGCGAACACTTCAGCTCTTTGTCGCATCGCCGCGTTGCACCAAACAGAACGAGATCGCCGAAGTAAACGCAGCGCTGTCGTGACCCTTGGCTTGTGGTTGCGCACTCGTGGACCCGGTGACACCCTTCGCTTTCCAAGCACACACGACGATTGCGAATGATGCTTTCCGTCGTCCGGGAACATCACAGGGGCACGTCTCCGGTCACGTCTTCGCTACATGTGCTCGCAAGCCGAGCACCTTCCAACATTCTTGCCCAACCAAAAGAATACCGGCGCCATGTTAAACGTGCGTTGTTGCCAGATTTTCTCCGACCAAATAAAAAACAACGAAAGCAAACCGGTTCTAGCTTCCAGCTTACATCGGCGTTACGCCGTGGCCAAATTTTCTCTGTCAGCTCTAACTTAAAGATGACCTACAGATGCAGCAACAATGGACACCACGGAGCGCCGTAAATTCTGAGGAGGATGCATGGGAAGCGGCGGCACCTTCGCTTGCAGTTGGAAGGGTTGAAGCCAAAACGAAACCAACTGCAATGTCGCGTGTTCAGATCAAGGGCACGCTTTTTATAGCTATTGTAACTGTTTAGAACGAGTAATTATACGCCTAACTTTATTTTTGGTGTGTGAGAAACAATTATCAAGACCCCTAATATAAATACAAACAAGGGCGACATAAGGGAAGCCGCATTGCCATTGTCGACCACAAACAATGGCAGCCAGCACGCACGGTAAGCGCGGGGTTCGCCCCGTCTCGCGACATGGCGTAGTTGCTTTTGGTGCTTATCTGTCTCCGAGACATGTTCCTTTCCGCGGAATTTGACTCCACGGTCCTTTCTAGGTGTGTCCCCAAGCGTTCCGGTGCTTCGGTAGCCGGCAATGCTGCGGTCGTCGCCGGCGGTGGTGCGTGTTTTCGAGGTCGGCTACACGGTTATGCGTGTATGACCGAACGAAAACACGTTTTTTACAACCTCGCATGATTTTTGAACGAATTATCTGTTACTCAACGTGTAAATTTATGGTAATTTGTGTAAATAGTGTGTTTTTCACCCCAAATATTCACCAAATACACGGGACTTGCTAACAGTGTAGGGACAAGATTGATCCTGGCGCAAACTGGGATCGATACCCGGTTAGGGTACTGACACGATGCAGTAAGCTTGCGCTCTCCTTCTCTGTATGCACTTCTGACTGAAACACTGAGAAAACAGAAAACACCTGGAAAAAAATATTGTGGAAGAGACCATAAGAATGGAAAGCATGACCTCTTTAGTGAGAGATTTAGGCGAGTTCAATTTCTGTTGTCCGGTTGTAAAGCTGGGTGGCACCTTTGCCTGACAATTTTGATATTTGCATATATGAAACCTTTCTTCTACTTTCTCCTGTTTGTAATGAAGCCCATAGTAGTTCTTTCTGTTTTTTAATTGGAATAAAGTATTCCTAATAGCTTGACACGTTCCTTAAATGTTCATTGTTACGTAAGTCTACTAATCAGATTACAGTTCAAAATAATTAATATTAGAAGTTTTTGCTCCACATAACAGTGCAGCATATTGTGTCAGTCTGTTTGGCTTAGCACGCTAGCCTAATATTCATTCTGAGAAAGAAGAAACATGAGGCATACCTTACTTAGCATCGTCTGTTTCATGTAAAAAAGCTCCTGTTTACAAGAGGTTACAAATTTATATTAACATGAACTAGCTGAAACTTAAGGATCATGCGAAATGTTGGAGACATAGTTGTACAACTAATTTATGTTTTAGGTGTATGGTCTAATTCATGCCTAAAGGGAACAGCACGTCTGTGGCTCGTGGTATGCGCAGCGCTGCCTGCGGGAGGCAGGGAAGTTTGGCACAGACACAGACAATGCGCAGAGGTGCTGGTGTCTCTGTATCATTTCCCACTGCACTGCGCACTGCTGCGACGGTTATGACTGATGTTGCTGCCAAAGGGGAGAGAGGGACACCGTAAAACCGTGTTTAAGGCCTTCCTCCTTCTCTCTTTTTTCGGAAAAGGACACTTGAAAAATTTTTAACCTTCAGGAACCCGCAGGGCAAGCAGCACTCTGTGTCATGGCAGGCATTGCGATGCCAGAAGTGCTCCCCCGCATTGCCTGTGCCTGTGCTGAAGGTTGGCTGGCTCCCATTGGTGGCGCTCTGCAAAGAGCGCGCCACTGGCACATTGTTCCCTTTAAGCCTGAAGCAGACTGTACTATCTTGATTCGAGTCAGCGGGAACACGGGAGTGCGTGGCATGATACTACCAGACCAGCCTAGCGGCGCGGAGCGGAAGTTTCAGTGCACGCGCATCGCGCCCGCTGAGGCAATATGGTCTCATCGTGCGCATCGCATCATTGGAGCGCTCGTGCGTCGTCTGCTACGCACATTGCGTGCTACACGCGTTGTCTGCTGTGGGTAGCGTGTCGTGTGAAGGCATGGGAGATAACTGCGTGTAGTTGAAATTGTCAGCCCATAACCATGCGATAAGCTTGCAAATATTTTGATGCGTAATACAGTGTCACACCCTTTTTAGTTTTCTCAACATTATTGAGAACATGTGGGCCGAATGAGGGCGGCCTAGGCCACGGGTTTCTATTTATTCGGCCATGGAAGACTAGCTATGGAACACATTCCTAGCAGAATGGGAACGCTTGAGAGTAGACGCGTTTTTGGGTCTAGTCTCTAAGACTGCCTGCCATCAAAGATGGCAGCTGTTGTCCACCAAATGGAAATAGAAGCAGTTCATGAGGCTGCTTCAATTGATGTGAGCTTTTTCAACGGCAGGTAGCAGCTTATAAATGTTAAGATTAAGTTTTGATTGAGCAATAAAGCTTGCTGCTGCTGACCTCTGACAGGCACACTCCTGACGGAACCTCGTCATTACTGTAATCGGCTGCAGCAAGCACTTCTGTCGTCTTATGGGCAAATAACTAAGGCGTCTGAACTCAACAGTCAGCGGCGCAGATCGAACTATAATGGACCAAAAAGGCAATAACGGTAAGGAAAACAACAACGCGGAGCTATGAGCGTTGTTACCAAAGTCAGGGTTACATTAATAGGCAGACACACTAGCCGACAATTAGTCTACGATCCCGGCCCTCGTCACAGAGATTTCACAGGAAGCGGGTTCAGCAAATCTGGCGTGATTGATATAAGAAAAACCCACAATTTTTATTTGTTTTAACAAATATTTAGGAACAGATGAGCACACTGGCGGAGCTTGTAATGTAGGGTTCGCCACCTGTTGGATAGACTGAATTTCTTGCTATCACCAGTAGCGTGCGCGTAGCGGGCGACACATGTGTCAGACGACACACATAGCAGACTACGCGCGTAGCAGACGACAGACGAGCGCCGCGATGACATGATGCGCGCGATGAGGAGGTAATCTCACCGCCCGCGTAACACGCATGCCCAGCAGTTGCGCGCTTGACCGGTAGAGCGCTCTGATAGGGTACGATGCCATGCGCTCCCGTGTTCCCGCTAACTCGGATCAAGATAGTACATAGTTTTTTCTTCCCCTCCAAAAATGTAATTCTTTGCCTTAAATTTTTGTGGAATAACTATAACAAGAAAGCTAGATATAAATTTACAAAATGAGTGCATGAGCTTCCATTGCATTGTTGTGAATAAGCTGAAAATTTGTAAAAGCTTGATTTTAGTTCTGCGGAACAAGAGTTCTCACAATCAAATATTTCTATGAATGAGCTTGGGGAAAACATGTGCTAATTTGCTTAATCGCTAACAATACAGGCCTTTTCTGTAGGGCATGCCTTTATTGTGTTCTAAAAGTATTTCTGGTGAGGTTCTTTGAATTCATTTACTAGAAACCTACAAGAAGGCCCTCAAGAAATCTCGGCTAGCCGAAGAAACATCAACACTTGAAACGTCGGAGTTTTCAGGTGTGTATTAATTTGCAAATGTCTTGGAAAATTGTTTTGAAGCAGAGAAACATATATTTAATGCAAGGGCATCTTTGCTTGTTGAAATTCCAGCCCCGGAGGCCGAAACTCCTGAGGATGTCTTCACAACCTATGACGATGCGCCATCGCACCGTCTGGCCTTGCCCTCTCCACGTAAGTTGAATAAATATTGGTAATGTAGGCATACACTAACTTCGGTCTCCTTTAAGGTATCTAAACTTATCTAAACATCATTTCATTTCTGAGCTAGCCTTGTAGACAGCCAGCCATATGGCTAGGAATTGCTGGAATAAAGCAAGCCAGCCAGTGAGGGTCTTAAAACATTGACTTCAGATGCAGTTAAACACTTGAGCTGTGGTTGACGTAGGTGACTTGTTGCAAACTGCAAGCCAATGTTAAAGTGCAGCAAATTTCATGGCTCACCAACATCTAAGGCTCTTATGTGCAAGACATAATTCTTATATGTGCCATGCAGGTGCTGTGGAATTACTTATTAAACGCTATGATATAACTGAAAGCAATTTGCAGTTGAAAACTTGCTTAGGGTGAATTTCTGCATATGTATATATGCTTCAGGAAATAGTAAAATTTAAAACCATTTGAAATGTGGGCATATGCACAGGTGTGTGATATATTTGGTAGATTACATGTCACCATAGAAATATTAGTTTCATTTCATGTGCATATGTTTTTATCTATTGCTTCACATTCTTATGCTTCTCTGTGGATCTCGTCTTTCGGTTACAAATGAGGCAGTCACCGGGTTTAGTTGCAACGGTTTGGTGACTTTGCCTTCAGGCCTCACCCCGAGCCACTTGTTTCAGCCAAGTCTGAAACAAAGACCAACTAGACCTGCTGTTGCACCAGCTGGTTAGAGTCACCTGAACAGATCACAGCACTAGAAAGGACAGATACAGAGACACACCACAACAGGATGAGTGCTACACAGTCATCTGGTTTATTTGCCATGAGAATTCGGCAAACAGTGTAAGCTGTGTAAGTGCAACATGCAACAAGAGAAATACAGAATCATACGTCAGAGTGCCAGCAAAATAGACAAAAGAATAGAAGGAGGCCATCCCAATTTGACATGAGTCAATGAAAAAGGCTCCACCATGTGGCATACATTTACTTTTTATATAATCTGCTTCCAAAAGTTTGTGTCGTGGTACCTTTGCTTGTTCCAAGGATCCTAACCTTCTGTTGGAGTGGCTCATGTGTGCAAGTGAGACAGTAAAAAGGCAGGTGCGTGCTTTTATTTGTAATAGATGGCTTAGGTCTCCACGCTCATTGACATGATGGCCTGTATGACCCTTACAGGCCTCCCCCCAAAGAGGGCCTGGCATATTTTTTCTGGCAGCCAGAGCTCCTGTCAGAGGCACGATGTGTAAAGGAACAGATGCCCGCAAGTTTTCGTAGCACAGAAAGCTCCTTGAGCACCCTATACCTTCTTAACGTTGTGCACACCCTCGTGAAAGCACGGCACAGCTTCGGGCATCTGTCTCTTATGTTCAGTGTTAATTCAACCTCTTGAAGTGCCCTTAGATTTTTTTAATTTTTAGAGATGCCATTGTGTCAATGTGCGAGGAAACCTAAGCTGTCTATTACAAATAAAGGAAGCACGCACATATCTTTTTACTTTCTCACTTGTGCATGTGAGCCGCTCCTACACAAGCTCAGAATCTTTGGCACAAGCAAAGGTACCATGACACAAACTTTTGGAAGCACATTATATAAAAAGTAAAGATACTGCATGTGCTAGTGGCTATTCCATTGTCTCGTATCAAAATGAGGTAGCCTTCTTTGATTCTTTTGTTTACAGTGTTGGCACTCAAACATACAGGTATGTATTTTTCTTGTTGCATATTTGCTGTGCTTATGCCGGTCCTCATTATTTGTTTAAGATCGAAAACTGCGCAAAAAAGACGGGACACAAAAAAGGAACGAGCAACACAACACAGGTGCAGACTTACAACTGAATTTTTAATCTTTCACTTCCTTTAACGAAGGAATGCAATGTGCACGTGGGCCGCTGAGATGCGCTATCACTGGCTCGAATGGGCACGCTGAGGGCAGAAAACCTAAGGACTGTGGCAAGCGCAAGCGGGATAGGGATAGCGAGGAAACTGAGGACGATGGCGAGCGAGCGACTCGTCGAAGCCCTACAAGAAGGCCTGTGTGGTGTGAATGGTGGATTCGCCGTAGATATTGAGGAGCTGTTTTATTTGATACCCCATGATGAACCCTTTGTCGCGGTGAGGAACTGCATCGAAACCTCCGGAACGGTTCAGTTCCAGAATGCCTGTGGTGTGTCAGTAGATGGATTCTTAGAACTTTTGTCCATTTATCTAACATCCACCATTGTGGGCTTCGAAGTAAAGTTTGTAGTTCAGAGGCAAGGCATCTGCATAGGTTCGAGTGTGGCACCAGTGTTATGCGAAATCTTTTTGGCTGCTTTTGACCGTTTGTTAGTGCAAGCACTCGCTGACGACAAACGGGTCCGAGTCTTCAGATATGTGGATGACTTTTTAGTCCTTTTAATTAAAAGTTAACTCCTGGCGTTCTTTCTTGAAGATGCCACCAACGGGATTTTAGAAACTTCGTGCCACCTCCACAACCTTAACATTTACAACCGAGCTTCCACTGCGGGAATCTTTGCAATTCCTTGACATAACATTGTCATTCCAGCTAGACCACCTCTGCTGGGAGTACGCACCCCGCTCAAAAAAAGCCCTCCTGCCTTTTGATTCAAGCCATTCCAAAATAGTTAAGAGAGGCATAGTGAGGACATGCCTGAGATCATCACTTGAGAAATCTTGTGCTCACACAGTTCAGAGTAACTTTGATTCACAGGCCCAACGTTTGTTGAGAGCAGGATTTCCACCTTCCATCATAAGGGCGGTAGCAGAGTCTATGTTGAAGGCCTTGCGTATGCGGGCTAAGGAAACAATGGGTCACTTGGAGGGACCAAAAAAATTTGAGGTCATGCCATATATACACGGGGTTTCTCACAATTTAAAAAGAGTCGCTACTAAGTTCCAAGTAGATGTGGTTTTTTCAGCCCCGTGTAAGCTCTCCCGGGTATGCGCCTTAACCTCGGAGCGGATCGCTCACAAGGATGGTTGCAACACCATGCATTACAACCAGTTCGTACCTTGCTCAACGGGAGTGGTTTACCACATCCCGTTATCTTGCGGGAAAGTATATATCGGACAGACGGGTAGATGTCTAAATGATAGACTGAGGGAACACGGAGCCTTTTTGAATTCAGCAAGCGGAGCGCACCTTGCCTTACACTGTAAAGAATGTGGGTGTAAACCAAATTTTGGTGCCACTGAGATAAAAGGTCGCAACAAAGACAAACTCACTAGGGAAATTTCTGAGGCGGCCCAGATTTCCTACAGTGGAAGTGACAAGTGTGTTAGCGCACCATCTATTTCATTATTAGACAGAGAATTAGGTTTTTTGTTTACTTCCTAGTTCCATCGCTCTTCTCTCGCTCGCGCTCGCCATCGTCCTCAGTTTCCTCGCTGTCCCGCTCGCGTTCACCACCGTCCTTAGGTTTTCTGCCCTCAGCGTGCCCATTCGAGCCAGTGATAGCGCATCTCAGCGGCCCACATGTACATTACATTCCTTCGTTAAAGGAAGGGAAAGATTAAAAATTCAGTTGTAAGTCTGCGCCTGTGTTGTGTTGCTCGCTCCTTTCAATTGTGTCCCGTCTTTTTTGCGGTTTTCCATCTTAACCCTTTCAGTACCGTAATAATTTTTCATGTAACATCCTCAAAATCCGGAATTATTTTATTCATGCAACCTGTTCAGCCTAGTCCGTAGAGCACAATCATATAAAATTTTTTATCAAAAGCACAGCATAAATGGACAAACAATATTTTTATAAATGTTAAAAAGGGGGCTTCACTGTACGTAATGTGGAAAAAGTGGGCTTCACTGCACATACTCACTTTATTTTATTCATGAATTTACAAAGCAATTCTGTCAACATCAGTACCTAGTGTCTCTGTTCACGAGACTACGGGCTTAGTCAGTCCCAGGACATCCCGTTCAAAAGTTTGCCTTTCTGTGATATGTGCGAAAACACTGTATCGCACACAGGGCGACACCACAGTCTGGGCACCACGTCCTTGTTTCCTTGCGAGCTTTTTTTTCTTGTGCAGACAACGCATCTTCTTGTTGGGCACTCTTTCTTCTCAGTTGGAGGTAGGTAGTCTGGGAAGTGTCGCTCAGTCAGTCGCGAGAGAGTGTTGTCAGAGAGCCTCCCTTTCTTGGGTCGACTCTGGGGGTCACAGTTCAGTTGAATGAGTCCCTCCACTAACTTGAGCCTGAAGTCAAGATGTGTGGTGGTGTTGCCACTCTTCTGGTAGATAATGAACGCATTGTAGATGGCCATGTCTAGCAGATGACGGAACACCTTTTTGTAGTATATTTTCTGTCCATTTCTTGCACAGGGGTAATATGAAAGATTTTGGTCACTCTTGTCAACACCACCCATGGTGTTGTTTTAATTCATCACTATCTGTGGCTTGGACGCAACTTCACCTCTCTGGTTTGTTACATCCACCATTGCCACAGAGTGCACCGTGCTGAGGAAGGTTACCACCTTCTTGTCCTTCCACTGAAGTGAGAGGCACTTACTTGCCTTTTTGGTAAGCTTCAGTTTGACCTTTCTCAAGTTGTCTTGTATCGAAGCTCGGCATTCCCTTGCGTCCAGATCGTGCTGTTCCGTAGACATCTGTCTTGCGCTCCAGAAGTGCTTCAACTAGTTCGGGTGAGTTGTAATAGTTATCCACGGTTACACAGTAGCCCTTATCGAGAAGGGGACTCATCAGGGACAATACCACACGTGTACCCATGGCCACATCTGCGTCACCAACAACAGCACCTTTCCCAGTGTACATAAGCATGTTCCAGATGTAACCACTGGAGGACTCGAACAGTACAAAAAACTTGACGCCAAAACGGGCACGTTTCAGTGGCATGTACTGTTTCCAAGACAGCCTGCCTTTGAAACGAAGAAGGCTCTCGTCAACTGACACATCTCGCTCTGGTGTGTAGAGAGTTTGAAACATCTCGGTCATTCTGGTGAGCACGGGCCACAGTTTTCTAAGCTTTGGGTTCGGGTGCCCGTCGACTGGCGCCTCGTTGTCAGTGAAGTGTAGAAATTTCATT